CAAATGCAGCCGGATTGCCCAGACACGAATCAAGGAACAGGAAAGGCACTGTAAATGACTTCAGCCAGAGAAGTCAGCCATAGCAGAGCACCTGATGAGCCAACCTGGACACAGCAGATTATTTGAGAAGACAGAAATGCTAGACCACTCTCACAACCACCATGTCAGTCTATTATTTATTTATTTATTTTATTTATTTAATACACTTGTATACCGCTAATATCTCAGCCTAAATCGGCGACTCATTGCGGTTTACAGCAATTAAAAGCAATGTACAATTTAAAACAACAACACGTAAACAATACAAATTATTGGGCCACCAATAATAATACCATGCTTCTCGTCACAAAAATCACAGTCCAGAGTTCGTCATCCATAGTTAACCAGTCCTTAGTCTATAAATTCAATAGTAACAAACTAATTGAATGCTTGTTTACACAACCATGTTTTTAATCTCTTCCGAAAGACCATCAGCGAAGAGGCTGATCGTATCTCTATAGGGAGGGTGTTCCAAAGCCGAGGGGCCACCACAGAGAAGGCCCTGTCTCTCGTTCCCGCCAGCCGCACTTGGGAAGCCGGTGGGATAGAGAGCAGGGACTCTCCAGAAGACCTTAGGGTCCTGGTGGGCTGATAGGCTGAGATACGTTCGGATAGATAAGTTGGGCCAGAACCGTTTAGGGCTTTAAAGGCCAAAACCAGCACTTTGAATTGAGCCCGGTAGCATATCGGCAGCCAGTGGAGCTGGTGCAGCAGAGGAGTTGTGTGCTCCCTGCGCCCCGCTCCTGTTAGTACCATGGCTGCCGCCCGTTGGACTAGTTGGAGCTTCCGGACTGTCTTCAAAGGCAACCCCACGTAGAGAGCGTTGCAGTAATCAAGGCGGGATGTCTACACAGAGAAGCCATTGAAATCCACAAGAAGCAGGTGGACAATTTCATCAGAAAGGAGGAAACCATGAAAATGAACATAATCTGGCTAAAGGTAAAGGTAAAGGTTGTCCCCTGACATTAAGTCCAGTCATGTCTGGCTCTGGGGGTTGGTGCTCATCTCCATTTCTAAGCCAAAGAGCCGGTGTTGTCCGTAGACACCTCCAACACAGGCTGTAACCCTATACCCTGTTCGGCCTTACGACTAACCAGGAGTACCTCTGTCTTGTCTGGATTCAATTTCAATTTGTTCGCCCTCATCCAGACCGTCACAGCGGCCAAGCACCGGTTCAGGACCTCGACAGCCTCCTTAGTAGCAGGTGGAAGGAGTGACAGAGTTGGACATCATCTGCGTACAGATGACACCGCACCCCGAAACTCCGGATGATCTCACCCAGCGGCTTCATGTAGATGTTAAACAACATGGGAGACAGTATTGAACCCTGAGGAACCCCACAAAACAAAGGTTGTGGGGTAGAACAGGAGTCCCCCAGTAACACCTTCTGAGACCGACCCTCGAGGAATGAGCGGAGCCACTGCAGAACAGTACCTCCAAGACCCATCCCCGCGAGGCGTCCCAGAAGGATACCGTGGTCGACGGTATCGAAGGCCGCTGAGAGGACGAGCAGCACCAACAGGGACACACTCCCCCTGTCGAGCTCCCGACGCAGATCATCCACTAAGGCGACCAAGGCTGTCTCGGTACCATGCCCCGGCCTAAAGCCAGACTGTGCCGGATCCAGATAATTCGTGTCTACCAAGAATGCCTGGAGTTGTGAGGCCACCACACGTTCCATGACTTTGCCCAAAAAGGGGAGATTGGAAACAGGCCGATAGTTGACGAATTGAGTGGGGTCCAGTGATGGTTGCTTCAACAGCGGTTTTATCACAGCTTGCTTTAAGCTGGCTGGAAATTTGCCTTCCCGAAGGGAGGCATTAACCACCACCTTCACCCACTCGGCCAATCCAAGTTTAATAGGTCCTCCACCTCTGCGGAGGTTAGGAGGTGCAGTAAGTCTAAAGCTGACCAGGTGGTGGTCGGTCCATGGCAACGGAGAGATGGATAACTCCTCAACACCGCCACCTTCCTCCCATCCCTGACAGAAAACCAAGTCCAATGTATGTCCAGCACTGTGGGTGGGGCCAGATACTTGTTGGGACAGCCCCATGGTCGCCATGGTAGACATGAAGTCCTGAGCCGCTCCCGTTAGGACTTTCTTTACTCCATCCTTTATGTTGAAAAAGCCAGGGAGCAAACCTACAGAGAAGATTGGCAGTTTTTATATTAAGAAAGCTAGAAATTATTTTGGGTGCTGCAGTAAACATCCAAAGTCAGTAAAAATCAAAATGGATGGTGGTGCCTACTGTCCAGAAGACTTTTTACAATCAGAATTCTACACCAGAGTAAAGCTAAGTAGCTACCATATTAAGATGCCCTCTCTTGACATGGCAGGTACCTAGTTTCCATGAAAGGTAAAATCCTGATGAATCATCAAACTGTATAGTTGAGAATGCGGAAAGTAAATACTACCCATTTATTTGATGTATTAATAACCAGCTGAAACTGAAGCAAGGGGACTGCTGGGACTGTGGATGCTGGATGCTAATTCCCAAGGAATTAACCCAGCAGAAATTCAATTGTTTCATCTTTGTTCAAGCCTCAGAGAGACTCATTAAATTAAGAACCCTAAATGGAACCAGAGGCGGCTGGTAGTTTCCTTGTCCCTGGAGTGATGAGTCTGCCGAAGTTTTTGTCCAAAACACTGAACATGATTTAGAAATATGGTTCAGCACCTTGGATAACTGTTTTAAAATTCAAACTAAAAACTAATGCAGACTTGCCACTCTGCTGACATGGAAATCATCAACTGCTATTGAAATAAAAAAATGAAATATAGACAACATGATAAACAGCAAATAGAATAGGAATGAAAACTGGGAAAGATGTATGTAAAGATACCAGGGTGCATGAATAACATCTCAAAAGAAGAAGAAATGTACAGATAAAGGACTCCAGGGTGACTCCTGGCTTGAAAATAGTAGATTTGAATAGGATCTAGGAGTCTTAGTAGAACACAAGCTGAATATGATTCAACGGTGTCATCTGGCATTGTAAAAAGCCAATGAGATTTTAGGCTGCATCAGAGACTGAATAATCCCGGTCTATTTTGCTTTAGTTAGATTTCTCCTGGGATACTGTGTCCAGTTCTGGGCACCACATTTCAAGAAGGATACTGACAAGTTGGGATGTGTCCAGAGAAGGGCAACCAAAATGGTCAAAAGCTTGAAAGTCAAGCCCTAGGAAGAGCAGCTTAGAGAGGTTTTTTTCAGCCTGGAGAAGAGAAGAATAAGAGGGGCATGATAGCCATGTTTAAATATTTGAAAAGATGTCATATTGAATATGGAGCAAGCTTATTTTATGCTGCTCCAGAGACTAGGACACACAGCAATAGGCTCAAACTGCATGAAAAGAGATTCCACTTAAACATGGTAAGAGATGTTTGACAGTAGAATATGTTGCCTCAGAGAGTGCTGGAGTCTCCTTTTGTGGAGATTCTAAAACTGAGGCTGAATAGCTATCTATCAGGAGTGCTTTGATTGTATGGCAGAGGGTTGGACTGGATGCTACTTGTGGTATCTTCCAACTCCATGGCTCTATGAAATGTGTTGAATGTTTTAAAGGGGACAAGAGTACAGACAAATTGTCAGTATTTGTAAGAAGGTCTGAAAAACTAAAGCTCAGAAGGAGCTCAAGCTTGAAAAATAATTTTAAAACAGAGGTCTGGTTATGTTTGGAGCTAGAGGAAGAAAAAGGAAATGGAGGGTACGCTGCATGGAGAAGATGACAAAAATGAGAGAGAAATGGAACTGCTCAACACCTATTTTGCCTCTTTCTTCTCCCAGAAGGGTACAGTGCTCAACCTTGTGAAAACAGGAAAAGGGGTTAGAGCCCAAAATAAAAGTGGTACAGGAATACCTAATTACTCTAAATGAATTCAGCTGTCTGAAATGAGGTTATCTGCATCCAAAAATACTAAAGGAATTCATTTATCCATTTTCACTTTATAATCTTTGAGACTTAGTGAACAATTGAAATCCCTCCATGTTGCTGCCATCTTCAAAAAAGAGGAAAAACAAGGATCTGGACAACTCTCAACCAGTCAGCTTGATGTCAATACCTTTAAAAAGTTTTAGAATGGAGCAATAAACAGTCAGTCTGTGACCATTTAGAACATGAATCCGGAACTTTTTAAGTCAAGGGCCAGTTCAGACTGTTGCGGCGGGGGGTGGGAGGGGGGTGGACTATATTTTGGGAAATACATGAACAAATTCCTATGAATACTGCACATATCTTATTGCAAAAAACCCACAAAAGAACAATACAGTATTTCAAATTAAGAACAATTTGACCAATATAATCTTACCAGTATTTCACTAGGAAGCGTGGGAGTCTTCTTTTGGCGGATGCAGGTGAAATGTCAGGAGAGAATGCTTCTAGAACATGGCCACATAGCCCAGGATTGTTATTGTTGTGTGCCTTTGTTGTTTCAGGCTTAGAGTGACCTTAAGGCTAAAGTTTTGGGCAACAGCTGAGTAAATGACCTTGGAAAGGTGCATCAGCCCAAGGGCCTTAGTCTGGAGACCCCTGATTTAGAGCAAGATGCTGTCATCATTAAGAACAAGGAATGGAAATTTATCAGTCTATCAGTTATCTGCATATCAAATCTGCAGATAACACATTGGGAGAGGAAATGAATATCCCAGAGGACAGAATGAGATTTCATTATGATCTTAACAAATTGGAAAACTAGGTCAGTACTAACAAAATCAAAATGGATTAATATAAGTCATTATCCCAACAGCAACAATTTACTTAGTCAGTGTTTGGCAACTAGCAATAATGTTCTCAACTTTTTCAGCCACGGAAACCTTTTTGAAGCAAAAGTTTCTCATGGAGTTTCAAGAATTTTTTATATATATATATATAGATAGATAGATAGATAGAGAGAGAGAGAGAGAGAAAGTCATGGGTACACATGTTGGCGCATTGTGTTTTAAAATTTGACAGATGGGCCGGGCCAGTGACAGATGGATAAATAATAATAACGTTATTCTTGTACTCCGTCTCCATCTCCCTGAAGGAACTCGGGGTGGTTTACATATGGCACAAAGTGCCTAAATCAGAGCATAAAAACATACGATACAGTAAAACCTATAGCATATAAAAACAACCATTTAAAACTCAGAACATTGCTCAATAGCCTATAGTGACACCTACCGTAAGACATGGCCAGACTGTAAACAAAACAAGGGAATGGGGTAGTGCAAATTGTAACTAAGGAACAAGGACATGGGATGAAGTGCAGTGCTGTGTCAGTGATTGCAGACCATTGGAGCTAGACATTCTCAAAGGCTTGTTTAAACATTCAAGTCTTCAGATCCCTACAGAAGAAGGACAGTATGGGGCCTGCCTAATCTCCCTGGGGAGGGTGTTCCAAAGATGGGGGGCCACCACTGAGAAGGCCCTCTCCCTCGTCCCCACAAACCATGTTTGTGACAGTGGCAAAATTGAGAGGAGGGCCTCCCCAGCAGATCTTAAGGCTTGAGCATGTTCATAGGGAAGGGGGATGCAGTCACAAAGTTACGCAAGGCCTCAACCGTTTAGGGCTTTAGGGTGGATAGTGTTTCTATGAACTAACTGGGAAAAAATGAACAAATTCCTATGCACACTATCTCGTTTGTAGTGCAAAAAAAGAGAAAGAAAGAACAATTAAATATTTAAAATGAAGAACAGTTTTATTTATTTATTTATTTATTTACTTTGCTTATATACCGCTGTATCTCAAGCCCGAAGGCGACTCACAGCGGTTCACAAACAGTAAAAACAGTAGAAACAGCAGTGGTTCCATACAACATATAACAATTGACTTAACACATTATCCATAAATTACCAATAAGCAATTACAATGCACAATTATTACGAAAAACAACCGTACCCAATCTTCTCATCATCCAAGCGTAGTCCAGGTTCGTCGTCCATTGTTCCATTCCTACGTTCCATTACCAGATTGCACTAAATTACTCAAACGCCTGCACAAACATCCAGGTCTTCACCTTTTTCCGGAATACCATTAGAGATGGTGCTAGTCTAATGTCCGTAGGAAGGGCGTTCCACAGCCGAGGAGCCACCACCGAGAAGGCCCTATCTCTCGTCCCCGCCAGCCGAGCTTGAGAAGCAGGCGGGATCGAGAGCAGGGTCTCCCCGGAAGATCTCAAACTCCTGGTGGGTTCATAGGCAGAGATGCGGTCAGATAGGTAGCTTGGGCCGGAACCGTTTAGGGCTTTAAAGGCCAACGCCAGCACTTTGAATTCAGCCCGGTAGCAGATCGGTAGCCAGTGGAGTTGGCGCAACAGGGGGGTTGTATGCTCCCTGCGCTCCGCTCCTGTTAAAATCATGGCTGCTGAGCATTGGACTAGTTGGAGCTTCCGAGCTGTCTTCAAAGGCAACCCCACGTAGAGAGCGTTGCAGTAGTCTAAACGGGATGTAACCAGAGCGTGGACTACCGTGGCCAAGTCAGACTTCCCAAGGTACGGGCGCAGCTGGCGCACAAGCTTTAGCTGTGCAAATGCTCCCCTGGTCACCGCCGAAACCTGGGGTTCCAGGCTCAGCGATGAGTCCAGGGTCACACCCAAGCTGCGAACCTGCATCTTCAGGGGGAGTGCGACCCCATCCAACACAGGCTGTAACCCTATGCCCTGTTCGGCCATGCGACTGACCAGGAGTACCTCTGTCTTGTCTGGATTCAATTTCAATTTGTTCGCCCTCATCCAGACCGTCACAGCGGCCAAGCACCGGTTCTGGACCTGGACAGCCTCCTTAGTAGCAGGTGGAAAGGAGTGACAGAGTTGGACATCATCCGCGTACAGATGACACCGTACCCCGAAACTCCGGATGATCTCCCCCAGCGGCTTCATGTAGATGTTAAACAACATGGGAGACAATATTGAGCCCTGAGGAACCCCACAAGACAATGGTTGTGGGGTTGAACAGGTGTCCCTCAACAACACCTTCTGAGATCGACCCTCCAGGAATGACCGGAGCCACTGCAAAACAGTACCTCCAAGACCCATCCCTGCGAGGCGTCCCAGAAGGATACCGTGGTCGACGGTATCGAAGGTCGCTGAGAGGTCCAGCAGCACCCAGGACACACTCCCCCTGTCGAGCTCCCGGCGCAGATCATCCACTAAGGCGACCAAGGCTGTCTCGGTACCATGTCCCGGCCTAAAGCCAGACTGTGCCGGGTCTAGATTTCTCCCTTTTTCCACGTCTTTGTGTCTAGGCGACCAAGGCAGTCTCGGTACCATGCCCCGGCCTAAAGCCAGACTGTGCCGGGTCTAGATAATCCGTGTCTACCAAGAATACCTGGAGTTGAGGCCACCACACGTTCCAAGACTTTGCCCAAGAAGGGGAGATTGGAAACTGGCCGATAGTTGTCGAATTTAGTGGGGTCCAGTGATGGTTTCTTCAACAGCGGTTTTATTATAGCTTGTTTTAAGCTCGCTGGAATCTTGCCTTCCCGAAGGGAAGCATTAACCACCACCTTAACCCACTCAGCCAATCCCCCTCTGGCCTCCTTTAGAAGCCAGGATGGGCAGGGGTCCAGGATGCATGTGGTTGGCCTCATTCCTCCAAGTATCTTGTCCACATCCTCGGGTTTCACCAATTGAAATGAATCCATCAAAACTGGACAAGCAGGTGCTCGTGTTACATCCTCAGAGACTGCCATTAACATGGTATCCAGACCAGAACGGATCAAAGCGACTTTGTCTGCAAAGAACTGAGCAAAAGCTTCACAGCGAGAAGTCGAATCGTCAGGGTTCCCACCTTGAGTGGTGGGATTTAAAAGGCCTCTGACAATTCGGAACAGCTCAGCCGGACGGTTCTTTGCAGACGCAATAGTGGCCGCAAAGAAGGCCTTCTTTGCGGCTTTTATTGCCGCGGCATATGCCCTTAAAAAGGACACAAACCGTGTTCGATTTGGCTCGCTTGGGTCCGAACGCCACACACTCTCTAGTTCCCTCTTCCTTCGCTTCATCACTGCCAGCTCCTCGGTGAACCAGGAGCTGGTTTAGCTCGGCTACTTGAGAGGGGGCGTTCCGGAGCGATCGTGTCAATTGCCCTAGTCATCTCCCCATTCCAGAGAGTGACCAGGGCCTCGACAGGATCACCTACCGAGGCGGCGGGAAACTCCCCAAGAGCCATCAGGAATCCATCCGGATCCATAAGCCTCCTGGGGCGGACCAACTTAATGGGTCCTCCACCTCTGCAGAGGTTAGGGGGCGCAGTGAGCCTAAATCTGACCAGGAAGTGGTCGGTCCATGGCAACGGAGAGATGGTCAGCTCCTCGACCCCACCACCTTCCTCCCATCCCTGGCAGAAAACCAAGTCCAATGTATGTCCTGCACTATGAGTGGGGCCAGATACTTGCTGGGACAGCCCCATGGTTGCCATGGCAGACATGAAGTCCTGAGCCGCTCCTGAAAGGGCCGCCTCGGCATGGACATTGAAGTCCCCCAGCACAAGGAGCCGCTGGGATTCCAATGCCAGGCCTGAGACCACCCCCGCTAGCTCAGGTAAGGAGACTGTAGTGCAGCGAGGTGGGCGGTACACTAACAGAATCCCTATTCTGTCCCGGTCACCCAACCTCAAGTGGACACATTCAAAATTTGTTGACTGCGGGATGGGGCCCCTGGTCAGAGGGATGGAATCTCTATAGACCACTGCGACCCCGCCTCCCCGCCCTCCGGATCTCGGCTGGTGCTGCACGGAAAAACCTGGTGGGCAAAGCTGGGTCAAATTCACGCCTCCCGCTTCGTCCAACCAGGTCTCCGTGATGCACGCCAGATCTGCCCGTTCAGTTTTAACCAACACAGTCTTAACAGTATTTCAGTGGAAGACCCCAGTCCCTTTTGCCATGCAGGAAAAGCACAATCAGAGCACTCCCAATAGATGGCTATTCAGCCTTTATAACAATAACAACAACAACAACAACAATAATAGTAGCAGAAACCCCAAGGGCCATCCAGTTCAGCTGCCTTCTGCCATGAAGGAAAAGGCTTTTGGCAGCAAGGGGGAAAGAGCAGGAATGAGGGGGGAAAGCTTCGCGTGGGGAGGACAGAGGAGAAGGAGAGAATAGTGGAGCCCGTCAGTATGCTTTGCGGAGCCCCAAGGGCACACTTTGAGAACCACTGGTGTACAGAACAAATGAATTATGAACAAAATCTATAGCAGAGCTTTCCAAACTCTGTGTCGTGACACTTCAGTATGTCAGCTGCAGTGTGTAGGTGTGCTGTGCAAATGTAATGAGAAATGACAAAAATCCTGTCAATGTATGTTGCCTTATAAATGATACATTTTGAAATATATAAATAAAATGTTTTCATGAGATATGTTGTGTCCCCACACATTTCACTATTACAACTTATGTATGTGTCTGTATTTCTTATAACAGGTTAATTTAACCTCTAGTTTGCTAGTAAGACGGAATCACTGTGTCATGAAAAAATATGTCAGCAATATGAAATTTTTTGGAAAGCTCTGATCTATAGAGGTATTGTTTTGAGCCTTTAGGTCATTTCCAACTATGGCAATCCTAAAATGAACCCATCACAGGGATTTCTTGATAAGATTTGTTCAGAGGGGGGTTGCCTTTGCTCTCCTCTGAGGCTGAGAGTGTGTGACCTTCCCAAAGTCACTTAGTGGGTTTTCGTGACCCACTGGAAATTCAAACCCTGGCCTTCACATTCTTGCTCCAATACGCAAACCACTATTCTAAATCAGCTCTCACAGAGTTATTAGAATTCATCACATTAGAATTCATCAAATGAAAACATTTCAGCAATTAAAGACACATTTATTTCTGCACCCTCTCATTATATAGGTCGTAAGTTTTCTGTGCCAGTACATCACTAATACAATAGTTCCATGTAACATTAGCCTGCTATTATTTGCTCACGAAAAGGATTCTTGCCAGGTATGTCTGCAAAGACGTGTTCCCTAAGAATGCACCATCTTAGATTCCCATAAAAGACCCACGAACAAGGAACCAGTATAGGAAAAAGCCAAAATAACCTTCATTCCTTTGGTATTTCTGCATAAACTCTTTTTCAATGTATTCCCATCTGTCCTCTCTTTTCAACAAATTAGAACAGGTCTGATGATTTTATTTTAACTTACCAGTATTTTTAGATCATGACTATTGAAAGGTCGATGAGACCTCACTGTCTTACTCATTTGCGAAGACAAGGTGTCATGTTTGCCCACATGCATATTCATTACAGCTTTTCTGATCCTCTGTACTTCCTTACACTGGTTAATTTTTGCCTGTGAGTCCTAAAACAGTGTCTCTCTGGGCTCAGCACTATTAGATCCAGCCACAGCCAAAAAAGTAAAAGGGAAAAATGTTGAAAATGGTAGAAGTGGGAAAACAGAAATAATAGCATAAAATACTTAGCTCTAGTAAAATTGCTATGAATTTAGGCTACATCTCCCGGAAGCCCTTGTTTGGAGATAATGAGAACTGTATCACAAAATATCTTAAAGGCATCAGCCTGCTTATCTTTTTTACAGGGTGGGCCAAAATTCACACAGGGATTTCAATATTTAATAAGCCCTTTGATTTTTTGTTTTGCTTTTAATTTACAATACCATAGCATCATATATAGAAAATTATATTACATGTAACATATTTTTTGAAATATCAAAATGTTATTAAAACATCAGACACCTTTGACACTTTTGGCCCACCTTGTACATCTGTGTTCTCCAGCTGGGAATTGTGGGTTTACAGTCAGCCTTCTGTATTTGCTGGAGTTAGGTAGAATTTTTTTTTTGACATGTCAGGAGCGACTTGAGAAACTGCAAGTCACTTCTTGTGTGAGAGAATTGGCCGTCTGCAAGGATGTTGCCCAGGGGATGCCCGGATGTTGTGATGTTTATCATCCTTGTGGGAGGCTTCTCTTATGTCCCCGCATGAGGAGCTGGAGCTGATAGAGGGAGCTCATCTCCGTTCACCCTGGAATTCGAACCTGTGACCTTTTGGTCTTCAGTCCTGCCGGCACAGGGGTTTAACCCACTGCGCCACCGGGGGCTCCTATGTTAGGCGGATAGGACCCCGTGAAAGTGAAAAACCACAAGTAAAGGGGAAAAACGCTTTATTTTTACCTGAGAAAACACCTTTCTCATATTTTCTAGATCTTCTGGCATGATTTTATGGTCAACTTTCACTAAAACAGAATTATATTAGAGGAGTTTCTCTCTAAAAAAAATTCTAGGTCCTCCAGCATGTCCTGATTAGATCCCTAGAGAATGTTTTAAGTTCATGAATAATCAAATGCACAAAAGTCAAAGCCACAAGTGTAGATGGACAACTAGATTTTTTCCAAACCAAGAGCTAACTATACAGTTATATAGAAACATATTGCTAGATTAGAATACAGCCTGTCTCCATATTTGTGCAGGATGTGCTCCCGTACTTCACATTGATATGCAGAACTCTGAACGAGGCCAGAATGGAGCCCTCCCTCTTGTCCTTCCTGCAGCAGGCTAAAACCTTTCTATTCAGGCAGCCTTTTCCAGATGAAGGAATTTAAGATCAATTCAGGGGGTGCTGTTGTTTTTAACTTTGAATTTGTTTTAATGGTTTTAACTGGACATTTTTAATATCATTCATATTTAATCCTGTGTCAGTGTTTACATATTTGTATATTTTAAATTGTATACTGATGCTTTTATGTTAAGCTGCTTTGAGTCTCCTGCTCTTGCAGGAGAGATAAAGTAGGGTATAAATAAATAGAATAATAATAATAATAATAATAATAATAATAATAATAATGAAGTGTTCAACTTATAGTTTTGTGATACAAAATCCAGCAAATACATCTTGTTTGCTGTGCCATACTGTGTTTTTCTGTCAGAATAATAATAATAATAATAATAATAATAATAATAATAATAATAATAAAAATAGCATAGAGTTTTACTGGAGGATCTAAAAAATTCCACGAGGGGAAATACTTTCTCTGACATGGTTTGTTTGATGCCAGATTTACAGATGCAGGGGTCATTCTGTATATTCACAGAAAGAGCTAATTTGAAAGCAAAGAAGCAATGAGAGGGGGAAATGGGACATTTCACCCTTTCTCTATTTTTCTGCATCAGATTTATATTCCCCCATCAATTATTTCCTCTGTGAGGTTCCAAACATGTATCCTAAGTAAGCAGAATTCTGTCACATTATAAACACAACTGTGCTTAAGAATGCAAAGAACTGTATCTTCACTTGCATGATGCTTTAGAGATATATTTCCTCTCTCCCTCCCTCCATCTTTCTATTCCCCCCTCCCCCCTCCCTCTCTCTATAAAACTTGAAATCATCTTATCAGAAACAATTAGTGTTTATGTGGACTATTTTGTTGTCAAAGTAACTTTTACACCTTGCTACCTCTTTGCTTTTCTTAGCAGTCCATGGTGGTGCCCCCAACCCCTCTTCACACGGCCCGTGTCCTACAGGAGGATAAAGATCACTGGGACGAAGTGAAGGTAATGATGACTTAAGTTTTGTATATTGCTTGGCAGTAACTAGTTATAAGTAATCAGTCATCTATAAATATTTTTCCCAACAATCACATTATGTTACCATTATAACATAACATGGGCTTTCCTTTGTCTTTCAACTGTAACTTTTTAGTTATTTTACAGTCAACTGATGTACATCCTCACTAAATAGTGGCTTCACTTGGTAGTGGGTGAAAAGTATGATCTGGTTTCAGATCATGTTTGTTGAAAATGTTTAAACATCAATGAAGTGGATAGGAGGGCTGATGGTTTCTTATCAGAGGCCAGTGACACATGTAGCATTTGTATATTTCTTTTAAAAATAACTAAAAAGTATCATCAGCTTTAATTACTTCTGAGCAAAGGAACAATATGTTATCTTTTTAAATAATAGGGTAGTTAAGAGTTTGTTTGTGCCTTAGAACTAATACCTACTGCTTTTCAAGTAACTTTCTAAACTCTGGTGGTCATTTCCAAACCAATTCAGAGATATGTGAAAGTTTTTCTTGTTTGTTTATATTTTGAAAAATGCTCATAAATTTCTGTTGCAGGAACCTTAAGGTCAGTTCACTATTAATTTTTTTACTTTGTTGTTGTGTACCTTCAAGTCATTTATGACATGGCAACCAATTTTTAGCTTTCCATATTATATATCATAAGGTAATTTGGCATAATATCTTCAGAGGCAGTTTGCCTTTGCCATCATCTGAGCCTGAGAGGGTGTGACTTGTTCAAGGTCACCCAGTGTGTTTCTGTGGCTAAAACGAGGGATTTAATATAGGTTTAAATGAACCAGGGGGTGGGGTGTAAATGATGTATCCTGTATACATTTAAAGCTGTGGTACATAACAGGAGTGGGGCAACTTTGATTCTCCAGACACTGCTTGGCAGCAGCTCCCATCACCACTAGCCAGCATAGCCAATTCTGAAGGATAATGGGAACTGGAGTCCAGAAAATAGCTGAAAAGTCATAGTCTGTTCTAGCATGTAGTATGAGTGTAATTAATTTATTACCTATTAATTTATGTGTAGTGCTAAAAGCCTACTGCTTTTGGGAACTTTTTATAGCATCGAATTCTTAATTTTATGATGGTCATTCTGTTCCACTTATCAGTATTACGTAGAATTTAAATTCTGTTTACAAATTTCTTCCTTCTGGTTCTTCAGCCACGGAGTCTATCTGGTAACTATATGTATTCTAACCTGTCAGAAAAGAGGCTGCCTTTTTAAAGTCTTTGCTCAGGGTGGTAAATAGAGGAGTCTGTTTTAGTCACAACATGGAGGAGATTGACTTGACCTCCTAACCAATTCCCTGTTTCCTTCCTGGGGCTGACAGGAGGAAATGACAAGTGCCTTGGCAACCATGAGAGTGGACTACGACCAAGTAAAAATTAAAGATTTGAAAACCTCTAACAACCGTCTCCTCAACAAACGTCGCAAGAAGCAAAAACAGGGAGGCACTTCTTCAGCATCTCCTGGTTGTAACAACCAATAAAGAAAAGAGTGAAGAATAAACATAAAATGGAACAGTTGCTCGAACAGAGTTCAGCTCACCTTCACACCAAAGCAAAGGTTACCTCTCTGAAATATTGATGAGCATGTGATCTACAGCCAAGGTGCACTGAAGCATCTAACATAAGATGTTCTGGAACTTTTTATTTTGGCATTTGGTTTTGTCTAAGGGGAATTTATTTGTTTATACTTTTCTTTTACATTTTAATAGAAATTACCTAGGGTGTTCCAGAAAACCATAGAATTTAAGTGAAGCTTTAGCTGAGTAGATGGTTATTGAGCCAATGCAGGTCCAACATATGTAGCCATGCTAAGCACATTTAAATCTCCCTGCTTTAAAATGAAGAGATTTAAGTGTAGGCCTAAGTTTAACAGAATCCAATGGGATGTAAAACCACTTAACCTTGGCTGGATTATATCCAGTGTCCTTAAGAGAAATGAATCCTACCGTTGTATAGACCTCAGGAATAGAAAGTTCAGGGTCTCTGTGAAGAGAGTAGGTTTTTCACATGTTCTTTCTTGGTCTTTATTTTCTGCTTTATTTTAGTTCTAGAGATAATGCTGTCAACTAGTAGAATTTCTGTTTGAACAGGGAAACATTGCTTTTGAAATTTCAGGAAAATATTTAATCTTAAAGGATTATTTAAGCCATGATTCCATGTTCACACATGTCTTAGATGGAAAGCAATTCATATAGGAAAATGCATGTAAATACGTTGTGCATTCTCCTGTGTAGTGACAGTGACATTTCTGTTTTAATGTTTGCCCTGTATAGAGGAGGTATAATTGGCCATGTTTTCCTGGTGAACATACATGTAGCAACTAGCTGTGAGTGTTGTTAGGCTTCAGTTGATCCAGTTTCTTGATCTACACATGCCAAAACCATTCTTAGCAGATAATTTTCTCAGGTGAAAGACAGAATGTCTTGTTGAAACTAGAGTTCCACCTTCCATTTCCTCTGTTACAGCATACAAGCAAAGCTTGTACAACATGCAGACTGTTCATTTCTCACATCTGCCATTTTACTCATGGTCACATGTCAGCTTGTGCACCTTGTTGACCTGATGAAAAAAATAAGATATGTGAGCATTCCTAGAAAACTCCTAATTTAAGGAGCAGTTCACACAGAAGGATGCTTACATAGAGGTGCATGTTACCCTAATTTTTCCATACAAATGAGCCTTACTTGATCCCAGTAAGAAGAACACTGCACAGTTCGCATCCCTGGATTCTCAGTTGTGCTTTGCTCTGAGAAACCATGAGACAGCAGGTGTCTTCTCTGATCTCCAGCTTCAGCACTGCTTAGAAAAATCCCAGAAAGCATTTGGATTTCTCAGTGGGACTGGAGGCAGAAATGGCAATTATTTCTTTCACCATTTTCACTGTGATTTGGACCAGATAAAAACAGGTGATTGCTGCTCTTTGTGTCTTCAAAATGCTACATGAATGCAAAATGTCTCACAAGGCCTCCAAACTCACGAGACAGCCTGAGAAGAGGGAAGAGACTTGTGACTAGTAAGCCAGATCAAGCCAGTATTTGTGGAAACTCTGCATCAGAAACTCATGCCAAAATTACAGAGGATGGGTTATTCTGATAACAGGAAACTACAGTGCCTGACAGGTCGACTCTCATCATTAGGTGCCTCCCATTGACCTGCAAGTAGGTATTGAACTGAAACCAAGAAGCACTGGACAAATCTACATACTCTTGACTGTTTGATAGATTAACATTTTGCATAAATCAATAAATGGTTCTTTACCATTTTTTTCTTAAATGAGACTTGCTTTCTTCAATGTGATGAAGCTGTATTTTTTTATGGGATCAGCCTTGTTGCTGATGATGTTGTGTGTCTTCAAGTCATTTTCTGTCTATGGTAGCCCTAAGATGAACCTAAACAGGATTTTATTGCCAAGATTTATTCAGATGAGGTTTTGCTATTGCTTTCTTCTGAGGTCACCCTCTGAGGTTTCATAGCCAACTTGGGATTCAAACTTCAAATCCTGGTTTCCAGAATCCTAAACCAATGTTCAAACCACTACACCCTGCTGATTCACTTCCATTAAATGTTAGTGGTTTACCTTATCCCCACCCAGCACAAAAAAGGCATCATTTAAGAAGAGAACAATAACTTAATTTCAAAATATAAGAGGACTATTTTTTTTCCTATTAGTTTTTAGAAAAATTGTAAATGAGTAGCAGTTTTTGAATAAAAACAGGACAACAAAATATTTTTTGTTTTAAAAAAAGTTACCAGTCTGTTTCCTTGTCAGGTGAATTCTATGTATATGAAACACTGACTAGACAACCTATTTTCCTATTTTATCTATAACCATTTATGCTGGTTTCATATGACATATGCTTATTTTCCACTGGCTGCTTTCCCAAGCCATTTACCTACAATTCCTGTTTGGAAAAAGTACAAAAATACAAATATATGGTAATGTGTGTGATAAATATACATATCCGTATCACAGTGGTGATGTACATGAGATAGGAGCATATTGCCAGTTGAGGTTATAGAATATATATTCAGTTATCTAGACATGGGCTCAGACAGTATTTCTTACACAAGATATTTTACCTAGATATAATATTGTCTGAACTCTGTTTTCTTCATCAAGCTACCAACCCTGAACACACTCAGTTTTTCTCATTTTGGAAACTAAACAAGATCAGCCTGATGACTATCAAGGTGGGAGGCCACTGAGGAATAACAGGGATCTTCTAGTAGGCAACCAGTGTGAGCTGAAAACACTGGACAATGTGGACCAGTGACCTGACTCCATCTTTGGCACCTCATTTTCTCAGTCTGCATTGGCTGTGCAGTGACTCCATTAACACCACACACATCACATAGCTCATCATGAGATTGCTATAACCAGTCAATAGCAAATATAACCATATTGGCGGGAGGAGGGTCATTTATGTTGATATGGAAGTATCCACACAAACGTACCTTTTAAAAAATAAATCCAGGAAGGAATAATTTCCTAGGGATATTATCACCTCCCATATACTTGTTCATCCCCCACTAATTCCTTCCCACAATCACACAGTGATGTGATGCTACCTGGAAAACCAGCCCCAACAAAAAATCCAGATTTTCTGTAAAAACTGGGCTGGATCTACACTGCCATATAATGCAGTTCGTATAGAGCAATATAATGCAGTTCAATACAATTAAGCTACATTATATGGCTCTACATCAGGCCAGCACAGGTCGGCAGTAGTAAAGGGCCAAAATTAAAATAGGCTAAACCTCTTCAGGCCATTCCTCCTCCCCTCCTTCCAAGATCACTCTTGACTGATTGGCTGCAACTTCTCACTCCGCCCCCTCTCTCTTCTCCCTCCCATCACAGAATCAGGAGGTTTGGCCTGAACCTTCATGCTCCGCTCGCCTCTACTGCAAGGATTATATTTCTTTGCCTCGGTCTTCTCACAAAAAGAGAGTCTTCAACCTCAGCAAGATGGAGTGGATGAGGGATTGGAGGACATCCAACCCCAAATTGGGAAAGAAGTCGGCCAGGAATACCTGGCCGCTCTTAATGAGTTCAAGTCCCCAGGGCCAGATCAACTACACCCCAGAGTATTGAAGGAACTAGCGGAAGTCATTTCGGAACCATTGGCGACCATCTTTGAGAGTTCTTGGAGAACGGGAGAAGTTCCAGCAGATTGGAGGAGGGCCAATGTGGTCCCAATCTTCAAGAAGGGAAAAAAGGATGACCCTAACAACTACCGTCCGGTCAGCCTCACGTCGATACCGGGCAAGATTCTGGAAAAGATTGTTAAGGAAGCGGTCTGCAAACACTTAGAAACAAATGCGGTCATCGCTAATAGTCAACATGGATTTATCAAAACAAGTCATGCCAGACTAATCTGATCTCTTTTTTCGATAGAGTTACAAGCTGGGTAGATGCGGGGAATGCCGTGGATGTAGCGTACCTGGATTTCAGTAAGGCCTTCGACAAGGTCCCCCATGACCTTCTGGCAAGGAAACTAGTCCAATGTGGGCTAGGCAAAACTACGGTGAGGTGGATCTGTAATTGGTTAATGGACGAACCCAGAGGGTGCTCACCAATGCTTCCTCTTCATCTTGGAAAGAAGTGACGAGTGGAGTGCCGCAGGGTTCCGTCCTGGGCCCGGGCCTGTTCAACATCTTTATTAATGACTTAGATGAAGGGCTAGAAGGCATGATCATCAAGTTTGCAGACGACACCAAATTGGGAGGGATAGCCAATAGTCCAGAGGACAGGAGCAGAATTCAAACGATCTTGACAGATTAGAGAGATGGGCCAAAACTAACAAAATGAAGTTCAACAGTGACAAATGCAAGATACTCCACTTTGGCAGAAAAAATGAAATGCAAAGATACAGAATGGGTGACGCCTGGCTCGAGAGCAGTACGTGTGAAAAAGATCTTGGAGTCCTCGTGGACAACAAGTTAAACATGAGCCAACAATGTGATGTGGCGGCAAAAAAAGCCAATGGGATTTTGGCCTGCATCAATAGGAGCATAGTGTCTAGATCAAGGGAAGTAATGCTACCCCTCTATTCTGCTTTGGTTAGACCACACCTGGAATATTGTGTCCAATTCTGGGCACCACAATTCAAGAGAGATATTGGCAAGCTGGAATGTGTCCAGAGGAGGGCAACTAAAATGATCAAGGGTCTGGAGAACAAGCCCTATGAGGAGCGGCTTAGGGAATTGGGCATGTTTAGCCTGAAGAAGAGAAGGCTGAGAGGAGATATGATAGCCATGTATAAATATGTGAGAGGAAGCCACAGGGAGGAGGGAGCAAGCTTGTTTTCTGCTTCCTTGGAGACTAGAACGCGGAACAATGGCTTCAAACTACAAGAGAGGAGATTCCATCTGAACATGAGGAAGAACTTCCTGACTGTGAGAGCCGTTCAGCAGTGGAACTCTCTGCCCGGAGTGTGGTGGAGGCTCCTTCTTTGGAAGCTTTTAAACAGAGGCTGGATGGCCATCTGTCAGGGGTGATTTGAATGCAATATTCCTGCTTCTTGGCAGGGGGTTGGACTGGATGGCCCATAAGGTCTCTTCCAACTCTTTGATTCTATGATTCTATGATTCTATGATATGTCTAGCGGAAGGCAGAATGTGCTCAGGGGAACCAGTTAGAGTGGCAGCCTCTTTAGATTGCACCAAATCCTTTGAAGGGCCGCATGCAGCCCATGGGCCATAAGTTGTGAAGATCTGGTCTACACTGACCATAACACAGATCTAAACTGCATTATATGGCAGTGTAGATTGAGCTTGAGAAACAACAGGCAAGGTTTTTAAAACTGAACTAAAGTACAAAGAACTAAATTGCAAGTAAATTGTCAAGAAAAATGTGTATTGGATCATAGCACCTTCAAAGTGAGTATGACTTTTTTAGTTCATGTAGACAAGCACTCAACAACAACAAAAAAACAGCTTCCTATGGTCCCATAATGCAGACTGTGCCCACATATTACCGCCATCATTTTATAACTTGTAACTGCTTGAGTAAAATAATAAATAGCTTTTTGGTCCATGTTAAATATAACACTGTGCACAAGGGTAAAAGCCTATCAAGCATTGCTCCCTATCCCCTAATCTTCTGCTCCAGACTTTTGAAATGTGGTCACTTCTGATATAAGAGCTTGAATTCTCCTATTCATGTATTTGTCTCCTCTGAGATTTTGATGGAGAACTCAGTTTAGATAATTAGCCTGCCAAAATATCTCTTAGCTAATTCTGAACTTGAGTGGTAGAACATATTGTGCTTTATTTTTCAGAATGCTAGCCCAATAATACAGTATGACTCTTGAAAGTTGAGGATACATTCCTCAACTTACCTTGGAAACAGAAAACCATGGATAATTGTGAGTCCTATTGAAATGAACTACTTATGTTGGAAGTTACCATACAGCCACTCTGGAGGATCTAGACAATTCCTAGAGATGTCCTCCAGTGTGACGCTATGATAACCTTTGGCAGAAGCATACCATAGAAACACCTGGATGACAAGAAAATTCCTACAGAGGACATGCGTTGTTGGATGCAGGTAAATGAAACCACGGATATTGACACCAGGGCTATGGAAGTTTTACTATTTACCAATACTGATAGAACAAAAACACTGGAACTTTTATGTCTTTCACTATCAGCATTGATGCTAAATGCAGAGACCAATTTAGGCTGAAAATGTGTGGGTGTATGCACACATATATTACTGCAATTGTATACATGAGTCTTTTTGTCAGAAGCTGCAGGCTTAATGCAACTCAAAAAATGTTGAAAATTGTCATTTTCTCTACTTAACATTCTCTGAAGTACCCAGTGTTTAACTTAAAGGAGGAGAAATTAGACTTAGGGGACATTTACTACAGTCTTCTTAAGAAAGGAAGGAACTTACTCTATTTTGTCAACTCTAAGATCAACTGTTTGAAACGAATAACCAAAATTTTTAACTTGGCCTCTTGTACTCTCTGACTTTTCCACTTGTTAAATGGGAACACTCCCTTACAAGGATTCTAAAAATGATAGCCCAACAACACAGGAAATATTGGATCTTGGCATTTCATAATTACTAGAACAGAACGGCTGAGCGTTTCTTATCTGGAATTCTGAAATCCAAAACATTCCAAAATCCAAAATTGCCTAAATGGATACACTTTGCTTTGTGATGGCTCAATGTACACAAACTATATTTTATGCACAAAATCAGTAACAATATTGCATATAGAAGTACTTTCAGGCTATATATGAGGTATAAATGAA